TCCAACAAGTTTCAAGACAAAAATCGTTGGATTCAGTGGAGATTTGACCAAGTTATGGAAGAAAGAAAGCTTGAGCAATTCTTGGCCATGGAGGGGCTGCTGCACGCGGGAGAGAAGAGAGGGAGGAGAGAGAAAGTGTGAAAAAAAAAAGGTGAGTTTGACTCACTTAAGTCACAGGCGGGTCCCACACGCGTTTTAACTTTAATCAATCACCTAATTTCAACCACAAATTCATGACCTACGTTGTTCACGTATTTTTCTTGTTCATGTCATATTTTTGTTCCATCAAATTTCATCAAAATCATAAACTCAAAAAACTGATAAAATTTTCACGCTTATCGGTACAATTTTACCGCAGTATTTTTACAAGGTTATTTTTACCATCGAGAAAATCACTATTCATCAATTTTTCCCAAAATGACTTGCAATTCCATCAAATTTCATCAAAATCATATTTCCTAACTCAAAAAACCATTTATAACTCATATTTGGAATTGAACGCAAAACAGATGCTCGAGATGGTATAGGCATTGGATTGCTTCTCAACACTAAGGGCATCATGGCATTGATCCTGCTAAGCGTTGCCTGGGACAGAAAAGTAAGTAATAATCAATTACCAACTTCATTTCATTCTCCTTTTTTTTTTGCAAATATGTAAAACTGGTTTCTTTGTGAATTTAGTGCAGAAGCTTGCCACGGATAATGGAAAACTGTACCTGTCTTTGCAGGTCACTGGGGAGTTACTAGATAACTTGACAAGTTGGGATGTATTGCTAGCTGCATTACCTGTTGGTATAGTTAGTGGAGCACCAAAGGTAAATCTTGGCATCCTTCAAGGCTATAACCTAGGTGTTTGCAGTCTCTTTCTCCTCACTGATGTAGTTTCTGGTATAGATTGGCACTCCCCTTTCTGATATTACTTGTGCATACATAGGGATTGTTGAGAGAAAGGTGGGGTGGAAGGGGTTATCACTAAACATTCTTAGAACAACCACAACACTCTTTGTTGATTGTCACCAGCTTAAGATTGCAGTCTTGGTTTGACTATTTTTGTCCTAAATTGTTATCGTTATCTGTGCTGTACAACAGGTGAAAGCCATGGAGTTGATTGATCAGTTGGAAGTCACAAGACGTGGGCCATATAATGGGGTATTTGGAGGCATCTCTTTTTCTGGTGATATGGACATTGCCCTTGCTCTGAGTACCATAGTTTTCCCAACTTATACTCGTTTTTACACAATGTACCCGTCTAAGGATGTGAACAAACGTAGACAATGGGTTGCCCATCTCCAGGCTGGAGCAGGAATCATGGCTGACAGTGATCCAGATGATGAGCAAAGAGAGTGTGAAAACAAAGTTGCAGACCTTGCCCCTGCCATTGATCTTGCAGAAGCCACATTCTTTTTTTAAATGATTTGCAAAATCTTTATCTCAGCACTAGATCTTGCTTTTGTAGACAAAGGATATTTAGTCAACTTTTGAAGGATGGTCCTTGTTTGATATGTGCAAAGAAAAATTTCAACCTCACGTACCTAAATTCATTTCTGCCAAACTAGACTTTAGAACACTGCATTTAAACATAGATTCAGCAAACAATTGAAGTATAGAAAGTCAAAGACAGAAATAAATTCTTAGACGCTCTTTGTTTTGCTGATTCTTACAAAGATGTAACCAATTATGTTGGGTTGGTATTGTGATGCTAAAAATGGAAAGACAGACATGGCTTGGTACCATATCTGTAGGTGCCTAAAGATCCTATCAAAGTGACTTTCCTCTATTCTTAATTATCAGGTATCCAAACAGAAATTTAACTTACTAGAGTTGCAGTTGCAGACACAAGTAGTAGAAACATGCATCCCAAATTACTTCACTTGAAAGGAAAAAAGACACATTCATGTTCTTGTTTCATTATATTAAATTCACATCATAAATTGAAGACAGAGACACCTGCTTAAACATTGTGGCCATTCTGCCAACACTTAAATAGAAAATCTACTACTTTTAACCTCGATAATTGCATATATTATAGAAGACCGTAGATTTTTGAACTCTAGGGAAGTTTAAAGGAAGTAAACAAAGGTTTTTCAAATTAAACATAAAGATATATTGAAAAACTTACAAGTATAGTAGTTATCCAACCACCATTTTCTTTCTCTTGGTTCTTTGTCTCACATCTTATGGTGGTAGGTTCACTGAAATTCCATCATGGAGATCCATAAATATACCATCTCTAGAAAAAAAATTCAAAATTTTCACATAAAATCTATGATTTCAAGTTGACACTGGATCAAGTTAGCACATATAAAATCAAATATATTATAATGGAAATTGTAAATATAAATGTACCCTCCTCAGCAAAAACAAAGTAATAATTATGGCATGAGCCATAGCTAAGTGAATTGCATTGTATGTAAGAAAGGAATCTAATCTTCATGCAAAAATTTTATGATTACTCATGTAGACAACATTTAAAAGTCAATCTGCTATAATTTCCAATTATTAAGCATCAAATTCAATACATGCTAATCATAGTGTAATGGCTACTTGAGTTACTATAAATAATCATCATGCATTAACCCAAATTGATACATCACATTTTCTCCAAAGAAGGAACTTGGTGAAAATAAAGATTATGCTATGGATGTAGTACATATAGAGATTTAGCATTTCAGGGGGGTAAAATTTAGTTCACCCTTTAATTACTATTTACATATAGAAAAGAAACAATTCATGTTACGAATAAAATTTCATCTTTCTGCTTGGTAGAGGCTAGAGTGGTTGTCAGTTCTTGGCAACAAATGACTTGACTGTGTTCTGTCTTTCACTTTTACTAAGAATTTTACAACTAAAATATTGAACTCACAAGTAACTAATGATGATCACAAGTTCATGAGGAATGTTAGCAATACTCTTTGAAATTCTCTTTTCAGCACTCTATTATCATGTCAACTTCTATGTTAGCCCTACTAAATAACCTGACCCCACTCTTTATTAGTGGGGCCTGCTTAGAATTTTAACGAACAATAAAAAGATTATTGAAAAGATAATGTAAAAAAGTGTGTTGTTAGCATTTCTCAAAGAATCATAGGCCTAAAAAGATTAGTACAAATGATGCTTTGGTGGTTTTGTCAGTCTCAGCCAGGTCAGTATTAGATAGAGATATAAAAACCAAATAAGTAAACATTCTTCTAGGTTATTAACATGAGAAGTTGATATCATAATCAATGCATGATAAAAATTCTATAATATTGATTAGAACTGATATAATGCCTAAAAGGAAACTTCAAAAAGAGCCAAGGAACCATTATAGAGATGTATGGGTTAGAATCCTGACCTTCTGATTGCACACCAACAAAGGAAAACAATGTAAGAAGCCATAATTCCTGAGGATAAAAGGCCTCTATTAACCTGTAATAATTAAGCATTTTAAGTGACAAAACATAGATTTTAATGGATTTCATGCAAATTAAAATATTAGGATAAATTCATGATAAAATAAAATATACTCAGTACACGAAAATAAAATAGAATATACTTGTATGGCAAAAAAGAAACTTAGGGTAAAGTTTAAGAGATGAAAAGTGTGTTTTTTTCCCTTTAAGTAATCAAAATAGAGTGTACCTTTGAATTTAAGGATATAGCCATCATAACAGCAAGCAGAATTGCTGTCCATGTGACGAAAAATATATTGAGAGAACATGAAGATCTTGAGGCATATGATGTGTACAAATAGACAATTCCGCATATAGAGAGGCAACATAAAACAACGTTGACATAAAAAGTCCAAAGGAGCACCTGTTCCAACTCAATAAGATGCTAATGTATCAAAATACAGACATTGCTATTAAAGCTAATGGCATAAAGAAATGGTGTTGATGTTAAATAATGTCAAACACACTATTATGGGTTATCTATGCTTTGAAGTTATATTCCATCAAGAAAGTAACCTGTTAGAGTGGCCTAGATTTTATGATTCATAAGCTTTAAATTTTCCAACTTTACGTTTTACACCAATTCGAATATGTTACACTCTAAGTTTTTCTGCGACCAAACAGATCGCAACCAACCCTACTTCTCAGATTATATCTTTGTGTTACTTAATTCCCTTTTTAAAAAGCTAAAATACGCTCAATTCGGAGCTCATTTGCTCCGGTTATCGCCGTTTGAAGTTGGATAAGCAATTAGCCCAAACAACCCCAAAAACAGCCCAAACCACTCACTTTGCCCGAATTACTGCACTCAATCGACTCAACCATTTGCTCTCAAATTTTTATCCTACAAACTAGACATCTCAAACTTCATTTTGACATATCACACGCTTAATTTGACGGAGAAACGAAGCGGGAATTAATTTCCCAAATCCGGTCCAGAATCTGCCTCAGGTGCAGGGGCACATGGGCAGTCCGTGTTTCTCTATTTATTTCAGGCCGAAGATCAACCCAGAATTTCCTCAAATTTTGACACAAGGTAGAGGACATCTCAACCTTCAAAATGACGTATGGCACGTCCCTAGGGGACCTCTATAGAGGGAGATATGCTCTTCCGTAGTTCGCCTAAAATCTGCCAATTCTACAGAAAATTCGCCAGAGTTTCCTTTGTTTTTCCAATAATCCCAAATTTGTAAAAGATCATTTAAAACCTCAATGTACCTAATAAACACATGATAATACAGTAATAATCCAATGGGTGGCACACACAAGGACCAACAACGCCTTGGGGCACTTACAACCCAATCCAGTTTATAGTTATTAAACATAGAGTCCATATTAATCATTCTTAAGTAGTTGCAATCACTAACACATTTTTCATGCATATTTCCATCATACATATTATCATAACCTAAAATAGGCCTAAGGCCCTTCCATCATAATTAGACATGCATCAATACTATTACAATATGGCTTTACAAATTACAACTTGAAACTAAAACTTCAAATTACATTCTTCTAAAATTTCGACTTAATTAAAAGACAACATAACCAAATACATCACTACTAGACTTAGGCAAAATGGCATGAACAAGATGCTAATGAAGCTACTAATAAATACAAATGACATGTTCATGCCCTAAGTCTAGCCTAGGCCACACGGCCAACAAAATGCAAAATAAGAAGCGCTCCACCGCTCACTCTGCGGGCCTCTTGCCCGAGACTCCTGCTCCACTGCTACCTCCTGAAATAAATGCCCCGAGACGGGGTGAGATATACGAATATATCTCAGTAACCAAGAGGTTCTGGAGAAAACTCCACCCAATGGTTCACTTCGATGCATATCAATAGAATACAACAACCACTTTGAAAACGGGATATAGCATGGGATTTAGAGAAGGGGGAATATAAAGAAAACAAAATACGACGATACGGGATGGTAACCCCAATTCCACGTACGCCCTCGGCATATATAAGCCTATGGGTATCATCCAAGGTGTGTTCACAGAAACCACAACCATGATGCCCAAACCAACCAAAACGCCAAAGACATTCCTAGTGTGCTCCTACCCGGATCACACACCATGACCGCAGTCAACTGGAACTCCCTCCTGGAGACCTATCCAGCGGAAGTCCGAAAATGCCCGAAGGCTAATAAAACTGTCTACTGGCCAGAGACTCGGTACATAAGTACCCATAGCAATAATGCATGCATGCTCATGTGTTCTATACTATTCATACACACTTCCTACCGTTGCCATCAACTGGCAAGGTGGAACAGAAAAGGGGAACAAGCCCCAGTACCAAGAGGTTACCTTAATTTGCGTTTCCACAAGCTCCGCAGCAGCTTATCCCTCAACTCGGTACACAGCGGAATGCCTACACAGAGGACATTCCCAATCACTCTCAGTTCAACCCATACACGTTAATTTATAATTACACATGTAATGAACCAATTTCTTACCTCAATCCACTTGGTCCCGGACCAAGGGCAATTCACTGATTCAAGATTCGGGATTCAGGTCGACGTACGGCAACCTATACAATAACGTACATCCATCAGTACTCGTCAAATAGTATCAAAACGCAAAAACACAAAAATCCTCCCCATCCTCCCTTGATGGTTCGGCCATTGTAGTGTAAATGTGAGATTTATTTTTCTAAATTTTCTTTCTCATTTTGTTACGTCTCATTAGGTTGTCAATAGGCCGGTTCGAGTGCCGGTTCGTCATTTTCGCGTCGAATTACATCAAAACGCGAAAATCGCCAAATCACCCCTTTTCCCCTTGGAGGTTCGGCCATGTAGGTGTAAATTTGAGATTTATTTTCCTAAATTTTCTTTCTCATTTTATAACACTCCCTTAGGTTGTTTAGAGGCTAGTTCAATCGTCGTTTTTCCGTTTTTCGACATTTACGCATCGTTTTGCGAAATATTTCATTCTGGGCTCATTTAGGTCTCTAACACAATTCATTTTTCTCCATTGATTCAAACACTCTCCAAGCACAACACAACCCATCTAAGCACCATATAACTACACAAATCATTATCCAATTCATTTTTCAACATCAATTCCTCAATCTTTCCTCAAAGAATCGAATTTTAACCTATGGCAT